CTCTCTCTCTCTCTCTCTCTCTCTCTCTCTCAAGATCTCAGTCTTAGTCCTCCTCTCTCATCATACATGCACACTCCTACCACGAAGATCTACTTAAAATGCTACTCACTGTAGACTAACAACTAACCCTCTAACTATGCTATCTGGCTGGTGCAGCTATGGCTGCCTCTTGCAAGCCAGCGCCCGGCTCCTTCTTCCTTCCAGCGCAGCTTCTCCTCCAGCGCTAACCCAGCTAGCCAGTGCACAAGTGCACGCAGCACTTCCACACCATTATGCCAGTGGGAATCTGATATCAAGGGAGGCTGGCCTATTGCTTTATACTGCTGGCCTCCCCTGGCGAGGTCTGCATTGGTCTGTATTGGCACTTTGGGCCTCCTTCAGTCCCAGACCCATGCATATGTGTGTGTCCCAGTATTTTCCCCTCAGGGTCTGCTGCTGCTGCGGCCATCTGGCCTGGATTTCGGACTGGGTGTCTGAACCTAGACCCCCTATTAGACTTAGACAGAATTGGGAACCTTCCCTTTGACTTCCTTTTGGACAGACACACATTCTGCACGCTCATACTGCACGAACAGACACATCTCTTGCCTGAACAGCCATGACCTCCGCACCCCCTGGACAAACAGATGTGAGTCCCAAATCCAGATATTGCAGCTGTTCGTACAGGGCACAACTGTGAACCTTGACATTGGCTTTTACTTAGCTAGGATGTGACTTTAGACCCAGAGAACATGTCCTTCGATCTGCTTTTATGAATTGGGCCCTGGCGGGTGACCCCTCTATCCAGCATTTGCCGAACAGGGTCTGAATCGGGTAAAGGCCCTTTTACTACAAAACGAAGCTGAGTAATGCTCTCAGTATCTACCGAGTTGAATTGTTAGGTCCCCGGACTCCTTTTTCAAGATTATAATGATATGTTACCGTTTTGATTATTTTATAAAAAAAAAGAAAGGACAGAGTCCGGGCCCTGACATTTGCACCTCACACGATCTGCACGTAGTCACACTGCTCGCCCTCAAAAATATATGGAGTTCTTTTTTTTTTTAAAATGCTGAAATAACAAGCATGGCTGTTTTCTTCATGCACGAATGAACAAATTCTTGAATTAAGAAAAGAAAATCGAAAAGGTAATTTGAGATCACCTCAGGAGGTGGTCTCAAATTCCCTCCTCCCGTGGCCCTGCAGGCCACTGACATTTGGGACACGAGAAAGTTTGTAGCCGGCCAACCAATGTGACACCGAAAGTGGCAGAAAATTTGAGAATTTGGCATTTCAGGTCCCCATGTGAGTATGCCCTTAGTGTTTCACTTATCAGGTTCCATCAGTATCGGAACCCAGGTCCTTATTTCAATGGTTCATAGTTGTACACACTGAGCCAGGCTGGTTGACCCCAATATTTTTGGTTATTGTCAAACCGCTGGCTTGAATTGTTTTGCCGACCTGAGTCTTTTAGCAATTAAAACTTGGGCCATGACAGAAGTGCTGAAAGCAGTTTCGACTTTCAAAAACATGCTGCGGCCACAGTTGTTTCTAAGTTTTAAATCCTATCCATCTGGTACATTCTGTTAAATTTTGGTGAATAATGACGCTGTACTCAATCGTACTGTGTAGTGTGCAGTCGTTTTTTGACTGCAGCATAGCCCAGTGCATGATTCACCATTTTCAAAGAAATATATTTTTTCGATTGTATGTACTCTTTTTTGGCCTGCAGCACAGCCCTGTGGATTATTCACAAATTTTCAAATAATTTCTTCTCTCTGGAGTCTGTGCAAGGAATATGAGTGTGAGCGATATACATAAAACCAAGTTGCGAAATCACACAGCTGAGCAAGTAGTAGTATCCCAAGTAGAGAGTACAAATGCACCGAGAAAACCATCCATAAAGAGCAATACAATGAAGTATTGAGCCAATGTCCAAGCCCGTAGGCCACACCAACACAGTATCCAGAGTCGCTCTCTCTGTCGGGCGCACAGCGCCCAGCCTACTCTACCATACTATCCTACTCTACAGCTGGTTCACACAACAGGATCACTTCGGCTCACGAAGACCAATGTACATGACTGTCAACACCATCGGCGACCTCTCTTCATGTACCAGGTACGTAACTCGTCACCCTCAATCAGACCTTGATTATCCCACACAGCGCCTCACTCCCCTGAAGACCAMCCGATCATCCGCTGTACCCCCTGGCGCCCAGCAGCCYGKCTATGGCTGCCTGCGCCCCGCTGCCCTGCAGCGCCCCACTACACCTCTTGCGCTCCGTCAGCGCCCTTGGCAGCAGCGCAGCATCAAGGCAATAGCGCAGCAGCACTTCCCCAATGCCAGCACTGGCCAGAATGCCTGGCCTGGGCTGCCTCACTTCCTTTATGGAAGTGGCAGCCTGCTGCATGCTGCGTGTGGCCTGGCTGGAAGCTTCCAGTAGCTTCCGGTTGGGCCTCAGACCCTGTGCCCAGGCCGAGACTTGTAGTTGAGGGCCTGGGCCCTTCACAGTTCGGCGCGGCCTGAGTCTCCGGACTTGGGCTGTTAGCTGCATCTGCGCAGGGCCCCCACGTAGGTGCGTCTGCTGTACTGCTTTTCCAGAGGCCGACGGCCTGCTTCTCAATGTATCAGCCCTGCTTTATGTGTAGGTGCCCAGGCACAACTTTCGTGGCCTGGGCCAACTGTACAGCGCAGCTTAGTGAGGCTCGCAACCAACTGACGCGCTGCAAGAGCCTAAATACCCACATATGGAAATGTCGAATTTGGCCTGTGACGAATATTCAGGCCCGCCTTCACTTAGGGCGGGCACTTGGCTTGCTGGGGCCTTGGCCCAGAAC